TGTTATCGTCACGTTGCTTATAGAGTCATCAATTAATTTAGGATAAGACATCACTTAAATGGGAGACAGCATCCATCACAATAAAAATAACTCTATGAAAATGAAAACGTTGGTCTGTCAGTGTATGTGGATTGATAGACAATAACAGAAAGAATTGTCGTGTGCTGGGTGTATTGTGGGTATGAAATAGTGGTAACAAAAATCCATTAGTGTCATTGTATGTGTTTTATGAATAGTTTTCATTACTTGCTATGTTAATGGGGGCTAGTTTAGAACCAGTTACCATAATTTCGAAATTGTCATTGGTCCAGACAGTTCTAAGTTCATGTGCAATAGAAATCAGCAATACTATCTCAAACGAACACGTGGTCACGCGGGGTTTTTTTTCGGGAAAACGGTAACTTCATTTGCATATCTATATCGAATTCCTCCAGACTGCACAAAAAAATCAGATCACTCAGACACGTGGTTCGGCCGTCATCTTAAATTTTCAGCAAACATATTGTGCATTTCTTTCTCACGAGTGCTTTACTTGGTCAACTTTGGTCAAAGCTTTTTATAGGGAGAAATAAAATAATTTTGACTGGTCATGTGGTTTGGCCGCCATCTTTGATTTTTTACAAAATTACCAAAAGTTTGTGCATTTTTTTCTCTTGAATGCCTTAACCAATCAACTCGATCTTTTGTACATGTATATATCATGTGAGACCCAAGCTCCTTACGAGAAAAATAATAATAATAAAATATCTGGCCGTCATCTTTGATTATTGACCAAAGGTTTAAGCATTTGTTTCGGGTGAATGGTGCAGCCAATCAGCTGCCAATCAAATGTATGACCATAGCTTCTTCTCATGGGTATGGCCGCCGTTTTAGATTTCTAGCAAAAATGACCACAATTTGAAGCATGTGTTTCTCATGAGTTCTTCGACCGATCAGCTTGCTATTTTGTATATAACATGTATAGCCAGGGCTTCTTGCGAGAAAAAAATTTAAATAATTTTGATCAATCACATGATTTGGTTTCCGAAGCCAACAAGCCCGCCCGAATCCTGGAATTTCGGAGACAACGTGTTTTGTGTACAATCGAAATTAGGAAAAGCAGACCAAAAAGTAATCAAAAATGATCGGGCAGTGCAAACCAATGGTTGCTACAAGTAGACACTGTCCAGGGACATCGTTGGGACACGTTCCTTTGACTGTCCGATTTGAGTGAAGTCGATGAGACCGAATCTGCTAGGGGTTGGAAATTATAAACTCGGAGAGGATGTCGAGATGGTGGAAAAACAACGCAAATTAATTATTATCAGCGAGATTTTTTTAATGATTACTGATTTTTTTTCCATTCTTTGGTTCGTTTGTTTCGCCAATCCTTTATTGAGTAAATATCACCACGCACGTCGTATGTAATTGTTGAACATCAGAACGCTCGATAGGGGTAAAGTGTGTCACGAAATACTAGTACGTAACATTGAATGTTCGTTGTCAACATTTCGTGGCTGCTGTTCGACACGGCTTTAATCGGCAGGATAAACACGTCCATTTAACGAAAAGATTTTCAGCGCTTTCACTCGTTCGCGAAAAGAAACAGAAGGTGTTTATTGATTTTTTTACATCCATGAAAATCAGAACACTCAAAGGGAGAAAAAGTGCGTTATGTGATATGTGCTCTTGTTTTTTTCTCGATTCATAAACAATGACCGCTATTGGTCACGGATTTTGCTCATCTGACCTGTGTACGTAATTTAAGGACGACGAACTTCGGTATGTATAACAGACAAAAACGGCCTATTTTAAGAAAAAAACGCTTTGATAATTGTGGTAATAATGTTCAAAACGCTCCAAAAATAGGCCCGTTCCTTATTCCGTGTTATATGTCAAAGATCCAAATGGAACGTACTGAGTACGAATCACGTGTTTGTATTGATAAAACCCAGAACAGTCAAAGGGGTAAAGGCTGTGTTATTCGATTTGTAATATTGATTTTTTTCGCTAATTACGTGATGGTCGCGATTGTGTACATAGACGACGAACTTCAGTATGTATAACAGATAAAAGCTACAATTTGCATTATCCCATTGATGAAAGACACTTTCTGAAGAAGTAAACGGATAAAGTAAGCAATTGCATAATTTTAGTTTAACACCCGAATGGACAGTGTGCGTTATGCTATATTTGGTCTTAAAGCGGGGGAGACGTCACCTGCGCACGCGCGGGAATTGAGTCCCGAACGACGATAACAACACACAATAAAAACGCAAAGGCTCATGGGTGGACGCTTGTTTGTAAACAATGACACGCTATGGCCATCTGACGCACACG